CACAACGAACAAACCTGTCAAACTATTAAATATAGAAACACAATAAAAAAACCCAATAAAGAATAATAATGGAGAGAATATACCAAATATATAAGGTTCTACAAAATATCGTACTCCTCAAGACCACCAACGAATGATAACTTCACTATCAACAAAATATTACAACGAATGGAATTCTTTAGAATTCTCAAAGTATTACAAATTGGGAGAATGAAGAACAACAAATGGAAGAAATAATTTTTGTGATGATTTCAAATGAAAGTGCATAGGCCTATTTATATTTGATTTCTAGAAACCAACTTAGATATAACCTAATAGTTTGTGAATCTAAGATGACTTTTCCCATGTACAAAAGTTGGTTACTTGTCACCAACTTGAATCAACTTGCCAATATTTGATGTTGATCATAGCCACTTGTCAACCTGAATTTATTTTTATGGTAGTAAATTTGAACTTGAATTCTTTAGTAGTAGTAAATTGAAACTTAGATGTTTCTCAAATTTGACCAACACTTTGAGTTTCCAACTTATAATCTGGTAAAATTACAAGCCACGCACATTAAAGTATGATTAGTGCTGCTTTTGTAAATTGTAATCTTATAATTATTTATTGGTAATTTATGTAATTTTGAAATAAATTTGAATAAAAATATCCACCAAATTAGCATAAATCTTAATGAGATCATTTATTTCTTCTTTCCACTTGTATTTACAAATGTTATATTTATTTCTAATATTCGGATTTCGTTATTTATATTTTAATTTTAAAAAAATTGATTTTATTATTTCTGGTTCAATTCAATTTGTGAACTTTATAGAAAGTTTTCTTACTCTTTTTATGATTAAAGAAAATTCAATTATTAAAGAACAAAAAGCCAAAAGAGATTTTGGTCATATATGAAGACCATGGCCTACTAAATTATGTTATATATAAAATTTAAAAAATTATATGCTTTTTTAGATGGTTAGATTAACTAAGTTTAATGATTGAAATTAAAAATTTTAATTTAAAGATAATTAGTTTTATTTTTTATAGAACTATTCTTAGTTTCTATTATCAATCTTAATAATTCATTTTCACTAGTTTTACTATGTAAAAAAATAGTATAATTTTAAATTTTTATATTTTATCAATAGATGTTACCTATATATAATATGGAACTATATAAATAACGAGAAAAGAATATTAACTAATAATATAAAATTACTATGAGTTATTCAAGAATGAATTTTGATATAAAACTACTATAAGCAGTCTACAAATCATGGAAAATAATATTAATAGATAATATGGGTTTGGTCAAGCATAAATTTATATATATAATTTCCAAGGCTTTGGAAAAGCTTGGTGGGTTAAGGGGTCTCATCATCAAATGGTAATTGATATAATTGTCTAAAAATGATAAATAATATGATGTAATGTTGTGTTGGTATTCTATTCATCTTAAATTATTTTTTGAGATAAAAAGAAGTATGGCCCTCCATTGTTTTTATCTATTAATAAACTAAATAAAGATGATTCCATCAATATCCCCAACATGAAATGCTGAATTAATCAAGATATCTTACAAGAATTAATTAAATTTAATTTATATTAAAAGGGGAAAAACCGTTTTTAATCACGTATCTTAGCTTCTCTCTCCTTTGTTTTCTCTTTTTTTTTCCTTTTCTTTTTTCCCTTTGAGTTTGTATTGTTTTTCATAGATCAGATCAATTTTTTCTTCTTCGATTTTCTTTAGCCGACGGCGATACCGATTTTAATGTTGGTTGTTAACCGTCGGTTCTCTTTTCTCTTTTTTTAATAAGAATAATTCTGCTTGTGTTGCACGTTTATCTCTGCATGTGTTACACGTTTATATATGTCTTTGTGGCACGTTTATATCTACTTTTGTGGCACATTTTTCAGTTTTTTTTCTCGACCGTTTGTCCGTTCTTTTATTTATGTTTCTCAGGGTTGGATTTGACTACGCCACGACTGATCAAGATGACGCTTATTTAAAATCTTGTTGATCTTCCCTACTATGGACTTTTGAATTGAATTTGAATGTGTGATTTTGTTTTTGTGGGTAGTTTCTCATGATGCTCGGCTTTGATTTGCAATTCTCGGTGGTTCGTATTTATTTTTGTTCAAGTCTCTTGGTTGGGGTTTTAACATTTTTCATATATGGTCCTTATATGATTAAAGTGACTAGTTTTAATTTTATAAAAAAAAAGTCCAAATTATGTATTTAGTTTACGATGATAGTTATAAATTCTTATTGTAATTTTGAATATTTTCACTTTTTAATAATACTAGTGGCTTCTATTAAAAAAAACATCATGTATCTTTGCTAAAATAATATCAATTTTAAAAGTAGTTTAAAACTAATATTATTTAAGTATTCCTCCTTTCTCTCCCCCTTTTATTTTTCTTTACAATTTGTGTCAATTTTATTAATTAATCCAACTTTTTTTAATTTTGTTTAATCGGCGGCAATACCGATTTTGATGCTAGTCGCCACCCGCTGGTTGTCTTTTTTCTTTTTAGTTTTATAATAAGAATACTTACGTCTTTGTGACAAATTCTCTGCCTTTATGACACGTTTATCTTTACCTTTGTGACACATTTTTCTCTATCGTTTGGTAGCTTACGGTTTTTTTACCGTTGTTTTCGTTTATCTTTTTTATCAATGTTGGATTTGACATCGCCACAACTGATCAAGATGACGCTTATTTGTTATCATGCTAATCTTCCCTGCTTTGGACCCTCGAATTGATTTGGATACACATTTTGCATTTGTGAATAATTTTCTCACGTTGCTTGACTCTAATTTGCAATTTGTCGGTGGTCTTCAGTAACTTCATCCCCTTTTGTGACTCGTTTGTCGATGCAATCAGATTTGTTCATATCTTTATTTTGTTTGAGCATCGGTTAGATTTTTTAATCTTTTTTTCCTTGTGTAATCTAGGTCCTAATTTTTGTATCAATGGTTATAGGAAAATGTTCTAATTATAATTTAATTTATGTTTACGATTATGCTTGTAAATTTTTATTGTGATTCTGGATATTTTCTATTTTTAATAAAACTAGTGACTTTTTATCAAGAAAAAATATTATTTAAGTATTGAATTTTAAAAGTAACAATTAAATTAAAAGGCCCTTTGAATCGGATGACTCTGTGTAATAATTGAATCTTGGTTAACAAACAAAATTTTTTCCTAACTATACTAAGTAACCCTTCCCTAAAACAAATATTACGTGCACGCATATAACTTGAGTAACCTATGCTAATTTTAAAAAAAAATATCTTATAGCACCAACCAAATTACCTAAGTGATTAAAGAAATGATTGTTATTCCTAAAGGTCCTGAGCTCGAGTCCTAGTGATTACAGCATGGGTGATTGAGCGTTCATTGTGAAATGATTAATAGTATTTAGAATATATACTACTTTATAAGCACCATAGCTTAATTAAAAATTTTATCTTTTATAATCAGTGTGAGTGATTATAAATCAATATATATTCATAATTTTTTAATTAATTAATGATAAACACAAATACACATTGCAAATGTAATTATTCAAATTCGAAACTTTTCGTGAAATGTATAAAATTAACAATGACCGTAAAATTAATCGAAATTAATACAAAACACGTGAGATCCTTGAACAAAATTGTTTTGAAAGGATCAAATCTAAAATTTGAAGAAAATGAGGCGTGCCCTAATCACTTAACCAAATCTCACTTTAAAAGGAAAATAGAAGTGATCAAATGAAAACTTTATCTTGTGTTATTTAGGTAGCATAGAAACAAATAAATCACAAAATAAATTTAATAATTAATTTATAACTAGTATACTTTAAATGAAAGATTTAAAAAATATATATATATATTTAAATTTTTTTATATTTTTAAATTAAATTTAATAATTTTATATTTTTTTTATTATTATAATATCATATTATCATTAAATTGAGTTTTTAAATTTAATTAATAATTTTAGTTTATTTTACTAAAACTAAAATATATGACTCATTTATATTTTAGTTACTTTTTATTAGATTGTATATTTTAAAAATGTATAATTTAAGTTATAGCGCTAATATTATTAAAATGGATTATGGGTGAATGAGAAATTATTCTTATAGAAGACAAAAAATTAATATTTGAATTATGATTTATCTTGTGCTTTGAGTTGTGCTTGTGATTTTGGGTTCCCTAAATAATTTTTTAATATAATTTTAAATTTTTAATATAACTATATATGTAGTCATTGAATTATAAATGTGAAAAAAATATTAAATTTAGTTTAAAAATATAAAATTAAGATTAAATAGATATAATAGGCATGTAATAGGGATTAAATATATAATTATATAAATTTTATAAACCATCACGTCTGCTCTTTTGTCAAGTCGGTAAATAATTTGATTAATATCATTTAAATAGTTAGATGATCTAAATGATAAAATTAAAAAAAAATTGAATCATATTAAAATTTCTATAATTAAATAATTACGAGTATAATTAAAATAAAAATAAACCTCTTCTATGAAACTATATTCAAGCATTGGCTAATAAAAAAATTCAAGCATTGGCTCAACAACATAATATAAAGATGGACTCATTCCAATAAAATACAGCTCAAACAGTTTTGAGATCAGATTTTATCATATCTCAGTGAGTATGTTAACATACAGATCAAACAGCCGTCAATCTTTTAACGAAAATGAATGAGTTTTGAACATATAAATAACTGGATGACTATTTTATAACTTTTATACTCGAAAAAAATAGTGCTTTATACATAAAATCATATTGTAGCTTTTAGTAGTAGGGAAAATTGATAAATCAGCATATTATAGTCTTTACCGTAAAATTTACATAATTTATAGTTTTTTTCAAGATTATATTCTTGAGCCAGTCTATTACATTTGTGCTTCTCCTTTAAGTTCTTACAATAAAGAAGTACAAATAATATAGAGCGAAAATTGGTCCTTCAAACTTGTTAACTATTACAATACAAACTTCAATCATGTGAGGTTGTTTTGACAAGAAACAAAAGGGAGTAAAACAAAGAAAAAAACATTGAGATTCTTTCATTTTGAATTTCCAGCTCATTTCAGTTTCCCAATGGAAAAAACTCTGGAAAAAACAGTTTCCACTAAAGTGTTCGTCTTCACCCTTTCACTGATTGTCATCAGCTCAATCACTTTAAGCTTTCTTAAGAGTTCCCGTTCACATTTACCGATTCCCAGTATCCCCAGAATTTCAGACAAAACCTGTGATGTCTTCAAGGGGAAATGGGTGCCTTATCCACAAGGTCCTTATTACAGTAACGAAACTTGTCGGCTGATCGTTGACCAGCACAACTGCATGAAGTTTGGTAGACCAGACACGGAGTTCATGAAATGGAGATGGAAACCAGATGAGTGCGAGTTGCCTCGGTTTGACGCAGCTCAGTTCTTAGAGGTTGCGAGAGGCAAATCAATGGCCTTTGTTGGGGATTCAGTAGCAAGAAACCAAATGGAATCATTGCTCTGCCTATTAGCTCATGTAAATTTCCGTATTTTCGGTTGCGCTACGTTTATTGCGATCTGTTTGTTGCTTTACGAATAACAAATTTTGATGTATATCTTACAGGAAGCATATCCAGAGGATAAATCTCACAATTCCAAGCTTTGGTTCTATGCTGATTACAACTTCACCTTATCAGCACTTTGGTCGCCGTTTTTAGTTAAATCCAGGGCTGCAGACATTAATAACAATTCCAGCAATGGCATCTTTACCCTTTACCTCGACCAACCCGACGAAGAATGGTCGAACAAGATAGAGAAATTCGATTACGTAATCGTATCGGCCGGACAATGGTTCTTCCGTCCGATGCTATTCTACCAGAACAGTCGACTTATCGGATGCTACAACTGTAACCAAAACAACATCACAAGCATTTCCAAGTACCATGCATACAGAACAGCCTTCCGAACCGCCTTCGAAACCCTCATAAGCCGTAATAATTACACCGGCGCCATCTTCTTGCGGACGTTTTCAGCGGCGCATTACGAGAACGGAGAATGGGATAAAGGAGGGAACTGTGGTAGAACAAGGCCTTTCAGAAGCAATGAAAGCAAGTTGGAAGATGTTAACATGGAGTTTTACTTGATTCAAGTGGAGGAACTGAGGAAAGCTAAGGAAAAGGGGAAGAAAAGAGGGTTAATATTTGAAGTGATAAACAGTACTGAAATCATGTGGCTGAGACCAGATGGACATCCAAGTCATTATGGGAAATTCATGAAGAAGAATACCACTGTAAATGATTGTGTCCATTGGTGTTTGCCTGGCCCCATTGACACATTGAATCAGTTTTTGCTTTATTTCATCAACGCCGTCTAATTCATCATCCTAGGAGTTCTTATAAATTATATGCACCAAGATTTCTTTTTCAATAAATTCTGGTTGAAACTTTTTTTTATTAATATGTGATAAATATACTATAGTAGTTGTTCAAAGATTTTTAATCATTTAACAATAAATAGTTAAACAATATTGCAAACATTGTGTTTGAATCTGAGTTCTTTAAGTATAATAATAGTCCTTTCGTTTATTCTTTTATTTATTGAGATTGATTGATTCATACAAATTCTAGTTGCAACTTAAATTGACATTTATTTCTTTCTTTTTAATTTGGATGTATAAATCAACTGAATTTCAATATTAATTTACGTAACGAAAAGTTTAGTTATTTAACTCTTTATTTGTTTGGTTGGGTGAAATAAAATAATATAAAAAATGAAATAAATAATATGTGGTTGTTCAAGCATCCATTTAGATATAAAAATACCAAGGCTTTCGATAAGATGGGATATATCGTTGGTTGTATTATTATTATTATTATTATTATTATTATTATTATTATTATTATTATTATTATTATTATTATTATTATTATTATTATTATGGATAAAAGATTTTTTTGTTTTTAGTCTTCCAGTCCTAAGGTTTCATCTTAATTAATTTGAATCGATTTGAGTAGTACATTTAATTTTAATGTGTGAGTCTATATCAAGTTGTTTATCTCTTAAATATATAAAAGATGTTTATAACTAATAAATTAAATAAAGATGATTCCCTCGACATCTCAACTATATATTACGCTCTACCAACAAGCATTAAATTAAGATATCTCACTAGTGTTATAAATTCATTCCATATTTGATAGATTAATAGTGTATAAATTATATAAGAATAAAAGGATAATAATTAATAAGATTGGTTCAAGTAGTAAGGCTGATATTATTTAAGTAATGTTTTAGGTTTGAGTTTCCGTGTATACAAAAAATTCTCGTTGAAAGACTCATACACTAAAATCATGTATATGATACATATCAATAAAACTAGAGAAAAAAATGAATAAAAGGATACACACCATAAAATAAATTTATTTTTATTTTTTATATTTATTTTAGAACTCATCTTAAAATTTATGATCATTCTTTCACTGTTATAGCCTGTCTTTTCTTTAATGAGGGATGCAACCTTTAACTTGTTGCTCCTTTTGCGGCCCTTCACTGGCTTGGGAAAGTTATACAGTGTGATATTTTAATATAAGATTAAAATAAAATATTATTAATTTTTTTATTATTTAAATAATAGAATCGATAAAAAATATCGGAAAGAATATTATTTTTACCGATTTTAATTATCGATATAGGTAAATGCGGTAAAAAACAGATAAAAATAATGTTCAGTCATTTTTATCAGATTTTTTTACACGTTTACATATATAGGTAATTAATAATAATAGTAGAAAAAAATAATATTTTCGATTATTTTTTACTAATTTTCTTATTTAAAATAATAACAAAATCGATAACTTTTTATTTTAATCTTATATTAAAGTGTCGCACGTAAGCATTTCCCTGGGTTTGAAGATCCTCATTTTCCGCAAACTATGAACATACGCCACAAAACTGGTTAGGGTCTTTCGTAATAACCGAAGGTTTCAAAAGTTTTATCAAATGTTTCAAACGTTTTATCATATAAAAAATATATAATGAAGATATAATGAAGGGAGGAGGATCCTATTCCCAACGTTTTATCATATGTAAAGTCATATTAGAAGAGCCAGTTTGTTTCTCATAAAAGTTACCGATTCATTATAATCAGTGGTCATTCACGGGGTGTAATTAAATTTAACTTCTAATGGAACATACAAAATGATTGTACAAGAAAAAGAAAAGCCTCAGATATGGCAGATTTACCTGTCTAAGTGCAGACAACTTTTCAGTATTTAAAACCCAATCTTCCCAGCCTGTCCAGCTCGTTATGATTTTACTCAAGTCTGGATTGCAGAAAAGGATCCATCTTCTTGATGTGACTCCATTTGTTTTCTTTTGAAATTTCTCAGGCCACAACTGCCAAAATTTGAGCACAGAGATCAATTAAATTTTCCTAGTAACAAACTGAAGAAACACAATTTTATTATAAGTTGCACACCTTTTGTAATTAAAGAAAGAGGCTTTATAAATTGCATTTACCTGAAAAAAAAAACATTAAAAACTTCGTCTTTTACTATCTCTCTATGTATGGCAGCAACTCCATTCACTGCATGACGACCTACGTCGCATAGGTTAGCCATACGAACCAACTTAGGGGGCTCCGATACTGGTTCCGGGATCTTCTTTTTCTTCCCTTGAATGCCTTTCTTTACAGATTTACTTTTTCCATCAGCAGGCTCAAGTTCTTTTTCTTCCTCTTCAGATTCGTCAAGTTTATCAGTGGAAATTGCAACAGGACTTGCCTTGGGTTTAACTAGTAAATCAGAGAACTGAGCTGGCAGCTCAACATTTTCTAAAATCCTCATCTGCTTCAGCTTCAGCTTCAGCTTCAGCTTCAGCTTCAGCTTCTTCTCCAGTAAGTTAGAATCTGTTTTACCATATTCTGAGACTATAGTACGGACTAGCTGCAAATGGTATAAATAGGAAGCAAATCGAATTAGAATAGGAATTCAAAAAAAAAATATGGTAAAATACAGATCATGTAATAGGGTAAATTAAGGTATCCGCTCAATCTAATTTTTTTAAAAAAAAATTAAATGATCGATGGTGGCTCTAACATGTTTATTTAAGTCGAAGCCCGATTTCGAGCTCATCCGAGGGACGGTTACAACAATTTTCATTCAAAACCAATCCAAACAAAAAAAAACGTGAAAAATGATAGAAGAGAAGAATCAAGTTACCCTTTCGGCCAAAGCCTCTCACCGGCGATGGGAGCCTCCGAAGACGAATCCCAAAGGTGAGGAGGGGCGTACGATGGAGGCATACGACATATCTCAGAGTCAGCCTGATCCGACGGTGGACAGCGGAGATCGGAGCCCCAAAGATACAAAGAGTCTCGACATTTTCGTGGACTTCGAAGCTAATCTCGTGAAACGAAGACCATATTTGGACTCTCGAAGTCAAGGCAAACCTCCTAGTGAATTTTGGGCTCGAACGGTCATCGAAGAGGAGCACGATGCGGTAGTTATAGCGACAGTCGACGACAACGCTTCCACCATCTTCTGGAAACCATGAAGAAAGGGGGGCTTTATAGCCCAACCAAAATGATAAAAAAATGGAAGAAAAGGGGCTTTATAGTTCAACCAAAACGATGTCGTTTTGGGACCCTAAGTCACTCGTTTTGGATAAAAGGTTAAACCCTCTCCTCAACCATCGCATGTTTTATAACTTTCAATTTGGTCACCTGTTTTCTTTTAATTCCTTATTTATTTCGATTTTTTTTCCTGATTTTGCTATTTACCATTTTTATTTTTCAATACTAACATTTTGGTTTATTTCTTTTTAGGTCATTCAACATTAGTCGTGTTTTGTATTTTGGTCGTTGTTTCAATTCTTCAATTGTATGTTTAATTTTGCATTTATTTCAATTTTTTATTTGTTTAATTTACATAATTATTTAATATTTAATCCCTAAATATTTATATAAATTTTAATTTAGTCCCTAATTTTAAATTGATTGCAATTCAGTTCCTTTTCCAACATCATAGTTGTTTACTTTAAATTGTTTTTACTCATTTGATTCTTTAGCTTTGTTTAGTTTATTTTCTTAATTTATTTATTATTTTAAATTATTGATTTAATTAGATTATTTAATAAGCATTCTAATTTCCTTCTTTTATTTCTTTTCAGGTTTGTCCACTAAGGTACATTTTCTTGATTAATTTAAATTTAATTTAGTTTTTTTAATTTTAGCATGTTAATCTCTAGATTTCAAGTTCAATCCTTTAGGTTTAGATTCTTCACACTTTAGTCCTTTAAAATAGGGGAATTTTTAATTTGGTCCTTGCTTTCGTGTTCAAGGATTCAAATTGACTTTCCGACTAAAATGATTAATTCGATTAATAACTAGGGCCTTAGTCTAGATTTAGTCCCTTAACTTTAGGTTTCTCACTTTTTACTCACTTTTTAGCCCCTAAACTTTAACTAGATATTCTTTTAACATAATTAATTCGTTAAATAGAGTCTCTACTTTAGTTTAGATTTCAATCTAGTCTTTTAATTTAAAGAGTAATCTGAGTTGGCCCTCGCCTAAATGCCCAAGGAACCATCTCGATTATTCGATCCAATAACTGGTTAAAATCTAATATGATTAATATTAGAGCCTTCATTTCTAGGTTTAGTCCTATAAGTTCTTTAATTTTCATAATTTGACACTTGAAGATAGAGGAAGCCTTAAATAACTCACCTAACATTTGGATTTAAAATAACAAGGCAATGTTGATTTACCAAGGAGTGTATCCTCCGCATTATGCTCAAGGGGTGACCGTTGGTAATTCTCGAAGTAGATGGACATCCTTTTAGAAAACCTTTCATTTTTGAAATCTCAAGGCAATGTCTGGTTATTGAGCACAATAATTGATCTCCTACATTCATGCTAGAAGGTGAATATTATGGCTTTAATAAACGAACACCCTCTTCAAATTTGTATCCATAGTGATTTCTTAATTAAATAAAACTTCGAACTCAAAACTTCTGATTTTAAATATAGAGTAATTGACTAGGTTCCATTTTTTGGGCGTTGTGGGGTGATAATTATTCTCCACGCGTAACTGAATCCCGAACCTATTTTCTGGTTTTCACAGACCCTAAAAATAAAACTTTGTACTTTGATAAAAATAAAATGTTTTATTAAAATTACCCGATTTTTATGGTGTTACAATCGCACCTTAAAAATGGTTGGTGGCGACTCCCAACATTTCATAAAACCATTTCAAAACCTTTTCAAAGAAAACCCAAGTTATACCAGTTTTCTCCCCACCTGGGTGAAAAACGGCGTCGACACCATCCTTCATCTAAAGATCAAATATCACCATGACGTACACTACCCAATAAGTAAAAAATGTTATCTTATAGAATAAAGCATATGTCCTCCTCTTTGCACATTTTGCTTTATATGATTTTACAATTTCCTCTAATTATTGGTTTTCATTTTTCAAATTCCTATTTCTGGTCATCAACATTTCCAATTGAAATTTCAAATCATCATCAATACATCCATTGTCTGGTTCCTTATCTGCCCACTGAAAAAAATTACATCGATTCTGTGGCATACAAAAAGATTAAATCAGCAAGTAAAGAAATAATTAGGCTAATAAATCAGCAAACCCTAAAAATTTATTACAAAATCATAACTTATCTCTTTCACTTGATAACACCCATAAAAATTTTCCTTTACTCCATGGCTTATTAAAAATGCAAATGGGAGCTTTCATTCCACAATTACATTCTACGACCCTAGAACCATAACGAGGCCTTGAACTTCCAATTGACATCCTTCACTCCATGCATGTAGATTCCTAGAATTGATTTAGGGTTCTTGAATTTAATTTCACAAAAGGTGGAGAAAGGGAAGAGAGGGAAAGACTGCTTAGGGTAATCACATTTTTACAACGGTTAAAAACTAAATAAAGTTTAATTTTTCATTTTAATTAAATTTTTATTTTTAGAAATCATTTTTTAATATTAAAAAAAATATGCCAGGTGACATTTTTAATAGGTTAACATACAAACTTAGCAGAGCTTCACGGCTTGACCAATTTGAGTAACGGAATGAAATGTTAAGCACCAAATTGAAACGAAATAAACGTTGGATGCTAAACAGAAAAAATGAACATAAGTTGGACACCTTTTGTATACTTAAACCTAAATAAATAAATCATGCCTTTGCAACTTCATTACAACTTTTTATATAATATAATACATTATTATTAAAGTTGTATCGTTTCTTGTGATCAACTGAATTTAAAAATCATTGACAAGAAGGGATCATCCAAAGATTTATTGATATTGATGGTAATAACAACAACAACAACAAAACCCTATTCTCATATATAATGGGATTAGGGGAGGTAGGGTAGTAGGCTGTTCCCAACGCCAGGTTGAGAGAAGCTTCCGTGGAAGACCTCTGGCAGTCAGAAAAATTTAAAAATAAATATAAAATACAATGCATGTATAAATAAATAAATAAATAAATAAATAAATACATAGTTGAACAGTCTTCATATGCAGTCTTCATATGCGCGTCTGTAATAGGAAGTTATCCCTGCAAATAAATCACTGCATACAAATCTCTGAATATAGACAAAAAAAAACGTGAGTCCCGAAATAAATTTAAAAGACGAAACATGATAAGGATATACAGAAGTCAGTTGTTGCAAGCTACGATAAAAGAAAAATGTCAAATGGGTTAAAACCTAAACTAATGCAACACTACTCCGCTATCCTAGTTTTAATCCTTCAAAAATTCCCATGACAGAAACATATTAAAAGTAGAAGTCAATGAAATTACTATAAAGGCATTAAAAAGAAGGCAGAGACGCTACACCTTATGACTGTGACCCACACTACTCTGCTACCCTGGTCTTAAGTCTCCATACTTTCCTATCAGAGGTCATGTCCTCGGTAAGGACTAAATCCTTCAAATCAGATCTCAAGCAGTCTACCCACTTCCTCCTTGGTCGTCCTCTCCTTCTGGCACCGTTGACTATAATCGACTCTACCCTCCTGACCGCATCCGACTGTTGTCTCCTAAGGACATGCCCAAACCACCGTAGTCTTCCCTCCCTCAATTTTTTGGATACAGGCATCACCCCCAAGGACATCCTAATTGCAGAGTTTGGAGTCATTTCCCACAGAGTCTTACCATATGTCCATCGAAGCATTCTTATTTGGCATCCATCCTCCTTACGTGATCCTTCTTGATTGCCCAACATTCTGATCCATACATCAGCGCTAGTCTTATTGCAACTCTATAAAATTTTCTCTTAAGTTTTAGAGGCACCTTCTTGTCACACAAAACTCCTGTAGCTGCCCTCCACTTTAGCCATCTCGCCTTTATACGGTGCGTTACATCATCATCTACACCCCCATCTTTATGTATCATAGACCCTAGATACTTGAAACAATCCTTAGAGGGGAGAACGTGTCCTTCGATGCATACGTCTACATCTTCATCGTTTTGGTTCCCACTGAAGTTTGAACATAAATACTCTGTCTTTTCAGTATTGATCCTTAGACCTTTTTCTTCCAAAGCTTTCTTCCAGTTATATAGTCTACTATTCAGCTCAGTTTTTGTTTCAGTAACTAGGACAATGTCGTCAGCGAAAAGCATACACCATGGAACACCATCTGGTGTCGCACAATAGATGTCGTCTATAATCAAGGCGAAGATATAAGGGCTAAGAGCCGACCCCTGATGGAGTCCGATTTCTACTGGGAAAGCCTCTATGTCCCCAACTATAGTCCTGACATATGTAGTAGATCGACAGTACATATCACGAATCGCCCGGATATAAGCAGTTGGGATCCGTCTCGTTTCCAAGGTCTTCCAGATCGTATTGCGGGGAACGCTATCATATGCCTTCTCAAGGTCAATGAACGCCATGTGAAGATCTCTATTTTTTTCCCTATATTTCTCCATAAGCTGTCGAAGTAGATGAATCACCTCCGTAGTAGACCTACTTGGCATAAAACCAAATTGGTTTTCCGAAACCGTAGTAATCTGTCTCAACCTAGCCTCTATAACCCTTTCCCATAGCTTCATGGTATGACTGAGTAGTTTAATACCTCTATAATTACCACAACATTGGGGATCTCCTTTATTCTTATAGATTGGTATCACCGTAGACTCTCTCCACTCCTCTGGCATCTTAGCAGTCTCTAAAATAATATTAAAGATGTTGATCAACCACTTTACTCCCTCTTCTCCTAGGGCCAGCCACACAGTGATAGGAATTTGATCTAGACCAACAGCTTTGTCCCTCCCTATCTTTCTAAGAGCCATTTTGACTTCCTCACTCCCAACCGTACAAGTAGAGCAGTTATTGTTCATCTTCATATTAAAATTAATATTTGCAAAAATATACATAATAATGAGATAGAAATGATTGATATATGGCTCTTGTCGTTTTACACTTTAAATCTTGACCGTTGATATTCGGGTGTACACAGACATAATTTCAACAAACTCACTGTATAACCAAATCCAATAAATGGTTACAAGTGGACGGAGCAGAGCTACATTCCTCTCCTTCGCTTTTGTCCTTTTCCCGTGGGAGAAAATGTAAAAATATCTCACACTCCTCTCCTCCCTTTACCCAAATCAGAAACTTGAATCCCACCATTCAGATCACGCCACGTCACCGATATCTTAAAGGAGTAAAATAATAGAGAGCCAGGTGTACGGTGGCGAAGAGAGAAAAAATGATATGATTTTACTTGATTGAAACTCCATAAGCAGTAATATTAACGGTAAAATGATTTCCCACGTGGACTAATGAAATGTGTCCAGGTGGAAATCAAGTGAAACGAGAAATTATTTGAATAGCAGGTGATCGGAACTCCATGCATATTATATAATTCTCGTGAATCGGTCATTTTCTGTACTGACTTGAGATTGGTGATCTTTGATCTCCTCTGGTTTACATAAAATTCCAAAGACAGATGGCTACGTGGCAATACTCTGCGATGCCGAGTGGAACGGAGGCAGTTTCCGGTTGCAATGCGGTGGCGAGATTCGTCGACTTCGGCCGAGGGAAAAATGGTGGCGGTGGCGGAGGTAGAAGAGGAACCAAGGTGGATCGGCTGATTTTGATGAGGAAGTGGCAGCTTAGGCCGATGAAGAGGTCGTTCTCGGTGAGGAATGTGTCGAGTGAGCACCAGCAGAAGGTCAAAGATCCGCTAACTCAGCAAGAAGGTTCGATCTCCTCCTGTAATGCCTGTACACAAATGGAGATCCTCTGTTTTTACTTTTTATTTTTCATGTTTATTTTTTTGGTTAATTGTAAACTTGTGGATTTTGTGTGTGTTAATTGTATGTATATATTGCCTTCAACTTTTCTTTATGTATTACTATGTCCTTAGCTTACAACTTTTCCGTTTCCGTTTCATTTTAATTTTTGTTCTTTTTTCATTTGATGCAGAATCTCCTGGTAGTCTTCATCCCTTTCCTCCAGATGCTTCATCTATTTCTTCTAGTATCAAATACCATGCGGAGTTCACCCCATTGTTTTCCCCTCAGAAGTTCGAGCTTCCCAAGGCTTATTTTGCAACTGCACAAAGCATTCGCGACGCTCTCATCGTAAACTGGAATGCCACATATGATCATTATGAAAGATTGAATGTAAAACAGGCTTACTATTTGTCAATGGAATTTCTACAGGTTTGCACTTTTTCGACGTTCAATTCTTGAGTTCTGTAAATCACTTTGAAATCTTACTATTTCAGCCTTTTTTTTATTTCTTCTACAGGGTCGGGCTCTGTTGAACGCAATTGGTAATTTGGGGTTTACTGGAGCTTATGAAGAGGCTTTGAGCAATCTTGGACACAACCTAGAAGAAATAGCTACCCAGGTTGGTTGGTGTATATAAGTTTTTTTCTTTTGCGCGCCTTACTTTACATCACATTCTGACAGTAATGAATAATTGTAAAGGACAAAAGACTCTCAAGATTGCTCTAGAACTAAACTATTGGTGTTTACCCTTGAATTGATTTGAACTATATTCATTGACTTGGTTATTGATAAATTTTCTGTTCCATTAAAGCAACTGGCCATCATTTGAATCCTTTACCAGCTAGCTACAATAGTGCCATTGTAGAAATATTGAACATTTCCCTTTGGTTCTTTCTAAAAATCTTCCCTTTCGGATTTATATTGTCTTTGTTAAAATGAAACGCAGGAAGAGTGTCTATGTGATTGCATTCACATTGCCATGAGAGCTAAATTCTTTGGTTGATTTATAGGAGCCAGATGCTGCCCTAGGGAATGGAGGCCTTGGTCGACTTGCCTCCTGCTTTCTGGATTCGTTGGCAACATTAAATTATCCAGCATGGGGTTATGGGCTTAGATATAAGTATGGCTTATTCAAACAGCGTATTACGAAGGATGGGCAGGAAGAAGTTGCTGAAGATTGGCTTGAGGTATACTTGCTTTTTGTTATCTCTCCTTTGAAGCAATCATTGTAGAAATAAATGTACGCATGTCTATATGACATCTGCATAATGAACACTGATGTTTTTCCCCTCTCTGAATTGACTAACTTCTTATCCGTCTTGATTATGGTTCCCCTTTCAGATGAGCAATCCTTGGGAAATTGTGAGAAATGATGTCACATATCCTATCAAGTTTTACGGAAAGGTTCTTACAGATTCAGATGGAAAGAAACACTGGATTGGAGGAGAGGATATAAAGGCTGTTGCTTATGATGTCCCAATACCAGGGTATGAAACTAAAACCACAATCAGCCTAAGACTCTGGTCAACAAAAGCTCCGTCGGGAGAGTTTGATCTATCTATGTTTAACTCCGGAGAACATACCCAAGCAGCTGGGGCCCTATATAATGCTGAAAAGGTCTGTTCTTATTTCTTTTCAATATCTATATTTGCTTCTGACAATATATCTTCTTAGCTCTTCACAAGTAAAGCTATTTGTTGGGACGCCTCTTCATAGTTTCATCAGAAATCCGACTTCCTGGAGCTATGTCAGGAGGAGAGTCTGGACCAAGGTTCTTTACACTAAAGTAATACAATAAAATTTCTAGAATGGTTATTGGTCTTAGACCGAGTATACATGTCAACAGTTTCGGCAATTGTTCCGCGGTTTTCCTCTATCAGAAATATCAAGAATTTTAACTGCTTTCTGATTCGTCTCTGCATCATTTATGCCCTTAATGACATCTAGATAATGTTGTCATTTTTTAGTGGTGATTTTTCATGTACAGTGTTGATCCAAGTGGTATGTTGAGGATGAATTATATAATATATATTTGACTGTTAGATTTGCTATGTACTCTACCCCGGGGATGAATCTCTTGAAGGAAAAACCCTTCGTTTAAAGCAACAATATACCCTGTGCTCAGCGTCTCTACAAGATATAATTGCACGTTTCGAGAGAAGATCAGGAACGAAGGTCAAATGGGAGGAGTTTCCTGAAAAGGTTGCTGTGCAAATGAATGATACGCACCCCACACTTTGCATTCCAGAGCTGATGAGAATTTTGATCGATGTGAAAGGTCTAAGCTGGAAAGAGACCTGGAATATCACCCAAAGGTACTCTTAAGCTATGTTGTTTTCACTTTATGTGGAACAGATCCTTTATTTTCCTTTTCAAATATATATGCTGCAAGAGGTTATTAAGAAGCTCAAGCCATACTCTATATTCACAGTAATGCTCTTTTTCAGAACTGTGGCATACACAAACCATACCGTTCTGCCTGAGGCTTTGGAGAAATGGAGTTTAGAACTTATGCAGAAATTGTTGCCTCGACATGTGGAGATTATAGAAATGATAGATGAGGAGGTCAGATGGAACAAATACATAAGACAAAACCTCCATTTTCATTTTTGGAATTTCTATTCTTATTCGATTTGCTTCCTATTTATACTATACCATTTGCAGCTAGTCCGTACCATAGTCTCAGAATATGGTCAAGCAGATTCTAACTTACTGGAGAAGAAGCTGAAGCAGATGAGGATTTTAGAAAATGTTGAGCTGCCAGCTGCGTTTTCTGATTTACTAGTTAAACCCAAGGCAAGTCCTGTTGATGTTTCCACTGATGAACTTGGTGAATCTGAAGAGGAGGAAGAAGATGATGAAGAAGAAGAACTTGAGCCTGCTGGTGGGAAAAGTAAATATGTAAAGGGAGGCATTCAGGGGAAGAAAAAGAAGATCCCGGAACCCGTACCAGAGCCCCCTAAGTTGGTTCGTATGGCTAATCTATGCGTTGTAGGTGGTCATGCAGTGAATGGAGTTGCTGAGATACATAGCGAGATAGTAAAAGATGAAGTTTTTAATGATTTTTTTCAGGTAAATGCAATTTATAAAACCTCTTTCTTTAATTATGAAACGTGTGCAACTTAATAATAAAACTGAGTTTCTTCAGTTTGTTACTAGGAAAATTATTATTAATCACTGCGCTCTAATTTTGGCAGTTGTGGCCTGAGAAATTTCAAAATAAAACAAATGGGGTCACACCAAGAAGATGGATCCGTTTCTGCAATCCAGACTTGAGTAAAATTATAACGAGCTGGACAGGCTCTGAAGATTGGGTTTTAAATACAGAGAAGTTATCTGAACTTAGAAAGGTAATATTCCATATCTGAGACTTTTCCTTTCCTTGTCAAACTTATAGTACAGTCATTATGTATGTTTCATAGAAGTGAAATTTAATTACACCCTTTGAATGAACGGTGATGACAATGACTCCTCAACTTGCACGAGCAACAAACTAGCGGGATCAGACCTACCTTCTAAAATGCTTCTTTCACAACAAAAGGAAACTGCCTGATTGCCTTGTGTAGAATCTAGTCCCGTTTTTCTTGCCATTTATGTACACGCCTATATCTAATATTTGTTGTTATATCACAGATTAGGCATTTTTTAGGTTAATTCAAATTTATTTACATACGAGAAAATGTTTGAATCCTTCAGCTATTACACTAGACCCTAATCAGTGTTGTGGCGCATGTTCATAGTTTGCAGATAGTGAGGATCTTCAAGCCCAGTGGAGGGCTGCAAAAAGGAACAACAAATTGAAGGTTGCATCCCTTATTAAAGAAAAGACGGGCTATACAGTAAGCCCTGATTCAATGTTTGACATCCAGGTAATTTTTCTTGTCAACTGTGCTTTCCTAAAATGTAATCAAAGAACTGTACATATCCTCAGTTATCATGTAATCAAGGAGAACAAAATCTACATTGAATTTCAGGTGAAGCGCATCCATGAGTACAAGCGTCAGCTGCTGAACATTTTGGGTATTGTTTACCGGTACAAGATGATGAAAGAAATGAGTGCTTCAGAAAGAAAGAAAAAGTTTGTTCCACGTGTTTGCATATTCGGGGGAAAAGCATTTGCCACTTATGTTCAAGCCAAGAGAATTGTGAAATTCATTACTGATGTTGGGGCTACGGTTAATCATGATCCTGATATTGGTGATTTGCTGAAGGTATGTTTTGACTTAATAATATGATACATAAACCTAATAAGGCGTTCTTCCCTGATATCACAATAAAAATTCCATTCTGTGAAATTTATGTTAATAATTTACTTGATTTCTTTGATATCACTAGTCAGACGAAATGGCTTAATATGTTCTAATTTTAGGTTATTTTTGTTCCCGACTACAATGTGAGTGTGGCTGAATTGCTTATCCCTGCAAGTGAGCTATCACAACATATCAGGTATTTCAATTTTATTCATTGTATGGGTAATTCTTTACATATCTGATGCATATTCAGACATGAGAATCAGGATATAACCTTTAAATTATTGAAACTATTTTAAAATGTTGATTATAGCTGTGCTGGACCCGGGCATAAATTCGTGTCTAAGGAACATAGAACGCAAGAAAGTTTCTTAGCTTCCACTTGTATATAGCTTGGGGAAGCCTTCTGTTCGATGAAGTGCTATGCATTAGTTATTTTATATTTACTTGGCTTAATTTCAATGCATAAAGCTTAATGGAGGTCAAGCTCTTTTGGTTTTGACATAAAAATGAATCCCATGCTTTCTCGGATTTCCAATGAGCTCGATACATGCCTTTAGATCCTTATATTACAATTTGATCTCAGAGTTGACCCTGGGGCATCCAAATTTCTATCCATCCTTTTATATTGTTTTCCCTTTATGCAGTACTGCTGGGATGGAGGCAAGTGGAACAAGCAATATGAAGTTCGCGATGAACGGTTGCATTCTAATTGGGACCTTGGATGGTGCCAACGTCGAAATACGAGAAGAAGTTGGAGAAGACAACTTTTTCCTCTTTGGGGCTAGAGCTAACGAGATTGCAGGGCTTCGGAAAGAAAGAGCTGAGGGGAAGGTATGCTTTGCATGGTCACATTACTGGTTTTCGTTTTCTCCAATTTATTTATTTTATCTCTTCATTGACATAGTTGACATCTTCCCGCAGTTCACCCCAGATCCTCGGTTTGAAGAAGTTAAAAAGTTTGTGAGAAGTGGTGTATTCGGTTCCTCCAGCTACGATGAACTGTTGGGATCATTAGAAGGAAACGAAGGTTTCGGTCGGGCAGACTATTTCCTTGTGGGCAAAGACTTCCCTAGTTATATAGATTGCCAAGCAAAGGTGGATGAAGCATATAAAGACCAAAAAGTGAGCAACCTTTTTCTTTCTTGCTTTCGTTACATTACATTACATAACAAATCCTGAATGTGTGTTTTATGGGGATGTGGCAGAGATGGACAAGTATGTCGATCATGAACACTGCAGGTTCTTACAAATTCAGCAGTGACAGAACAATCCATGAATACGCCCGGGAGATTTGGAACATTAAGCCTGTGGAATTACCATAGTTTGGCCCACACTTTTTCAACTATGAGAGCTGTCCTGTTAATAATAATCTGCTCTCTGTCATTACTGTATTTGAATTCCCATGCAACGAAAACATGTAATAATTGAAGTTCAATAAAAAAACTGAATAAGAGCCCCTTTATATTAGCATGTAATTGTGTGGTAATTTACGGAGAGCTTCAGTCTGCCCTTGTAGTATGGATTTAGTGAACCTTATGGTCTTATGGAAGTATATTTCTTTTAATTATGAGTAAGAATTTATTCGGATAATACTTCTTGTAATCTAAAATTCCTTTCTCATTAAATAATTAACTTATAAATACGTAATAGAGATTAAAATCATTTATTAAGTCTTCATTAAGCTGACAGCTTTTTATATTTTCAACATTATCTGTTTTTTTTTATTTTTAAAATTTTCACTTAAAATTTAATATTATTATTTTGTCTTGTCGATTATTGTAATACATGGAGAGAAATAAAATACAACACTCGACAATAAATCGATGGGATTTTTCTTCACAATTAGCAAATAGTTTAGTTTATACTTCAAAATTAAAAACCAAATGTAAATAGGCATACAAATGTTAAGTAGAAATTGGGGTCAACAGAAATTGTTGTTAATATGGGGATGTGATAGGTCACTTCATGTATAAGAAATTTAATAGATTTTGTTTTGTTTAAAACTTTTATATTTTATATTGAATATTTTAATTATATTTTGTTTGAGTTATGGAAAATATATTTTAGAGAATAGAAACTTGAGATATTTTAGAAGAAAAAAATGCAATTTCATTTCTGAGATAATTTGTGTGGTTTACCAAGTTGGTGAATATGCTTAACAGGTCCTAAGATTGGTGGTATCATAGTAGTTTTCTAACGTTTGTAGGAAGAGTGATTTGGGTAAGTAGATTGCATCACTTTATCACCGTTATCTTCCTAGGGATCTTTTCCTACACACCACCGCAAACCCACCCAAGCATGCACGCACGCGTACACACACATGAGGTGTTCCTCGCTCACCATACTATTTATTGATGGAAACAAATAGGTCATGACGACTATAGATTGTTCATTCATTATGATTTGAACGAAGAGTCACAATTGGTGGTTAGATGACTGTTAACTGATATCAAGATCTTTTATCTTCATAAGGATATAGAAGATAAATGAGTGAGTAAAAATAAAATTCATCTTTTCTCTCGATCTTGATTGAGAGGCTTTATAATGATCCTTAGAATTAGAGAACGACGTAAGGTCATTATGGCTACTTCTAGGTTGACAGACTAAGTTAATATATAATCAACTGATAGATTACGTGGGTTTGTCAGAGATTATGTCAAATTATCGTGACTTCTCAAGAGATGTTAAGTATTCGAGATCCTTCTTTTGGAGATGTTCTTTTCACATATATATTTTTTAAATTTCTCGAGGTCCAAGAGAAATTGAAGATTTGAATATGTTTCAGGATCTTTTGAAGGTCCTAAAACGTCGAGAAGGTTTACAAATGTATAATAAGCATCATAGAAAATTATCATGCATCCCACCACATCATTTAACCTCGGTAGTTTCATGAGACACTTTAAAACACAGAAATAGAACATAGAGAGCCTATTTTTATATTCTTTATATCCTTGACGAAATTCATAATTGTTTATTCTAATAATATTTTCTTAATTATTCTAGCATACTGCTAAACATTACATGATAATTATGCTTTTCTTTACTAGTTGTCTGCAATATTTTCATTGGATTTGATCTCTATTCCTTTTTGTTATGCATTTAGTGGGGTGAGACTTGAGAGCTACTTTGATATTAGTTTAATTGTTGGCATTTCTTGGAATCTAAGTTATCCTAATTATCACTTTCTTAATGTATATTTTTCTTTGCCATTTGATTCGCTTGATACTATAATGCCACATTTTTCTTATTCATGCTACTTTGATTCAGTTTGTGGATGATGCATATTATATGACAATATAGTGTGTGTTGGCGTTCGCTCTTAAATCGGTGATATGTTTTCGTTGCTGCATTTTAAGATACCTTGCTAGATTGGTATGCTTTTTCCTCTGTTTTGCCTTTTGTTTTCCTATGACGACCGTGACATTTTATTTTTCTTGTTGTTCTACCCTGCACAGGTTGTTTAGGTAGACGGTTAGGTCCAAGGCTTCTTGGGAGAGTCGATGATTTGGAGGTAAGTATCATATTCTCTAGGTACCGTAGAATGTATTCTGGATTTGTCTTATGGTGAAAAAAATTATTAATGACGGATTGCTTTTTTTGTGATGCTATTGATTGTTTAACACAGACTGGTTAGGACTTGTATGAGATTTTGAATCAAGTAAACCGAGAGGAAATCCCAGAAGGTCTAAAGCTTCAGGATTCATTTATGCAACCTGTTTCTGAAATGAACAACCAGTATGATGAACAGACCTTCGCATTAATGGTAAGAGCAACGGTAGAGAAACTTGAAAGAGAAACGAGGGAGTCTAAATTTTCGAAGTTGATGAACAAACACTTTGCAGCGAGTTCCATCCCCAGAGGAATCCATTGTCTTTCTCTGCGTTTAACGAATGAATATTCTTCGAATGCTCATGCACGTCGACAACTGCCTACTCCGGAGCTTCTCCCAGTGGTTTCTAACAAGTCTTACCACCACTTTATCCTGTCAACAGACAACATGTTGGCTACCTCGGTCGTTGTTACTTCCGCTATAGAATCGTCGCTACAACCAGACAAGATAGTCTTCCACATCATCACAGACAAGAAAACGTATGTGGGTATGCATTCTTGGTTCGCGTTAAACCCTGTATCACCCGCCATAGTTGAAGTGAAAGGTGTTCATCAATTCGATTGATTGACTAGAGAGAATGTTCCTTCGCTTGAAAATGTAGAGAACCGTAAAGACATCGAAAATTTCAATCACGGTAGTCATATTACAGAGGCAAATCTCTCCGATACTACTACTCGAAAATTTGCTTCTACATTGCAGGCTCGAAGCCCAAAGTATATATCGTTACTCAACCATCTTAATATATATTGCCGGAGGTAACTAGTTATCTGCAAAACAATGCTGTTTATTAGTGTTTTTTCCTTCTAAATATATGTTCTGGTTATGCGTTTCGAACAGCTCTTTCCGGACCTCAACAAAGTGATATTTTTAGATGACGATGTCGTAATTGAACATGATTTGTCTCCTCTTTGAGAGATCGATCTACATGAAAAAGTTAACGGAGCTGTTGAAACATATAACGGTGATGGTGAATGGGTGATGTCCAAACATTTCAGAAACTACCTCAACTTTTCCCACCCCGTTATAGCTAAGCATTTAGATCCTAATGAATGTGCACGGGCTTATGGCATGAATATATTCGATCTCTGTGCGTGGAGGAAGACGAATATAACGGAAACGTATCATTTCTGGTTTGAAGAGGTAACTTATTGGATACCAATCTTCTTTACCGTTCTCAAATAGATTCGAACTTGTTGGTGAATTACTATCTTTTTCTGCAGAACCTGATGTCAAACTTGACAATGTGGAAGCTTGGATTTTTAAGTTTGACTGAGCTCGATTAAAAAATTTGTGAACTTAAATTTTTAAGTTTGACTCGAACTCAAAATCAAAACTTAAAATTTATCTCAAGCTCGAAAATACTTAAACTTAAACTCGTATCACTCATAATATATTTCGCTTTATTTACTGCCTATTTTAAGCGACGAAAATTTATTCAAAGTGTGAATCCATAAACAGTACAAATGGTAATCATGGGGAACTTCTGTTGTGCGGCGCCTAAAAAACGGTTAATATACGACGTGACCGGTTAAAATTTAGACCGGTTATGTTATATATTATTTAACCGGAAATATTATCAAGTACAATACCATATTAGGTAACGCTTATATAATGTAATAGGTAACGCTTATATAATAAAATAGGTATTTAACCGGAAATATTATCAAGTACAATAACATATTAGGTAACGCTTATATAATGTAATAGGTAGCGCTTATATTGACCTATTTTATAAGTAAACCGGTATATTTATACCGGTAACATTGCAAATTTACCTATTGCATTATAATTATCGGTTTCAATATTTTTTGGATCGATATTTTTTTTATAAATGTATCGACACTATATGCGTTCACCCTTTTGGGCATTCATTCTGGAAAAAAGTATCGACACAACATTAAAAAGTGTCGACACATTATGTAAACGTATTCTCACATAAAATCGATATAAATATACCGGTTATATTACAAAATTACGTATTACATTATAATTATGGGTTTCGATGTTTTTGGGATCGATACTTTTTAAAAATGTATCGACACTTTATGAGTGCACCCGTCTGGCATTCATTATAGATAGAATATATCGACACAAATTTAATAAGTGTCGATACTTTATGATGACCTATTTTCTCATAAAACCGGTATATTTATACCGGTTACATTGCAAATTTACATATTACATTATAATTATCGGTTTCGATTTTATTGGGATCGATACTTTTAATAATTGTATCGACACTTTATGCGTGCACCCCGTTTGGGCATTCATTCTGGACAATAAATATCGACACAAATTACACAAGTGTCGATACATTATGTTGACCTGTTTTCTAATTAACCGGTATATTTATACCGGTTACATTGTTAATTTACCTATTACAATATAATTATTGGTTTCGATGTTTTTTGGGTCGATACTTTTAGAAAATGTATCGACACATATTTAGGTAGTTATTGTACACACCTAAATATGTCACACGAATTTAATGTTGTACCCACCATTCAACTACCACTACCAATACCACATCCTATTGAAAGCATGACTGAAATATGTTGAATGAACCTTTACTTACATCTCCATTAACTCCGGGACCACTGAAATTGCACAACAAAATTTTTGTCATGGATCATACTGATGCATGCAATGTTAAGCCAACCGAGGAATGTCATGAAGTACATAATGTTGATGAATCTGACAGATTGGTTGGTTAGCTCTTCTCTTCACATGATCAAGCTTGGTACTTTTACAAGGGATTCGCACAGGAACATGGGTTTAGTGCATGTAAGGGAACAACACGGCTTGACGTGGAAGGGAATCTGAAGACACAAGAATTTTGTTGTTCCAAAGAAGGGTTTTGAG